ATAGAGACCCTGACCCGACCCGACCGATCTTTATTATTGATTTATTGAATATTAGAACCCACCTTAATGACATACTTAATCGCCTAAAAATAGGATTTACATACTTAATCACAATAAATAACACAGCAAACATGATGATATGAGTGTTAGGGTTTTGTGTTAGTTTGTGATGGTCTCTACGCAAATATCCCTTTAGAAAATAGACCTAAATCACCTTCGGTTCTTCCTTTTTGGAAATTTCCCCAATCCATGGCGGAGCACACTCCGTCCACCTGTTCCGACACACTCGAAGTCATTCACAGACTCCAGACCGTTGGATCATGCTTAGATCTTCGAACGTCCGTCCAACTGACTTGCGATGAAGTATCTCCGCTCTTCGATAGACTTCTTTCACTATTCTTCGCCCAAATTCTCCGCAACCAGCACCGACGGCCTCCGCTGCCGTACGCTCCTGACGACGGTCGCTCGATCAATCTACTGAGACTCTTCGCCTCTGTGAGAGGAAGAGGCGGGTATGATCTCGTCACATCCTCCAAATCTTGGGGATTCGTCGCGGAAGACATCGGACTCGGAATCCAAGCTGGTCCTGTCACCAAGCTTTTGTTCAAGAAACATCTCTTTGCGCTTGAGATATGGTATCGGATGATTCTGAACCCTATAGAAGCGGGGGAGAAAAACGAGGGCGTCGCTGTGCATGGAAGGTTATGGACTCCGACAAAGCCAAAGAGGGAGACGATGTTATTTGAGAACTGCGATGATCACGACGGGAATGCGAATGCGTTGGACTTGCCGGGAATGGTCGACTGGATTAAGAGTGTTGCGGTCAGACCATGGGAGGCATCTACTTCCGATACCGGTACCGACACATCCAATGGTAAAGCTGTACGGGCTGATGGGAAAATGAAGGAAGTCGAGGTTTTTTCTCGAACTATTCGTGCCAAAAATGCCTTATTCGCGTCGACTCACTCGGGTAGCAATGTGAGTTCTCTTCAATAATATTGTGTTTAACTCGTTTCGTATATTTGTTATTCCTGCTGGTGTTCTTCTCAAGATGATGTAGTTCTGCCTGGTAGAGTTCTCCGGAAGACATGCCATTTCTTCTTCAGTTCATCACCGGATCGTGTTCTTCCTCTGGGCAATTAAAGCCTCTGATGAAGAAGACGGGACTCGGGAGAGATGGTGGAACGAAGTTGGTTGTGTGTAATACTGTGTTTGTTGATTCGTAATTGTAATAGATGACACTTTGGTCTTGCAGAAGAGACAGAGATCATCACTCGCCCCAGATTCTGAGGACTCTATTCTTTCAAAACACCAGGAATCCAGAAAACAAAGATGCAGCCAGAGGATCCTTAGAAGTAAATTCAACACAGTGTTGGGGGACTTGAGTTTGAAAGGACCTTCTACCGACCCTTTTCCTGAAACCAGAGCCAATGTTCCACCATGGACAGGCAAGATCGACATGTCTAATACCGATGATCAAAGATGGCTGGGCACGCGAATGTGGCCACTACTGACTTCGGAGAAGAAATCTCTAGTTCAACAATCCCCTCACGTAGGAAAAGGTAGACACAGAAATTGTCTACTTGGTTCTGGTTCTTTGGAATGCATTAGATTTCATGTTGCAGAGAAAAGGTTACATCTGAAACGTGAAATTGGATCGGCTTTTCACCTTTGGAGATTGAACAATATGGGTGAAGAGGTGTCCCTTTCGTGGACTGATGAGGAGGAAGAAAGGTTCAAATCCATTGTTGTTGATCAAAACAAGAATTTTTATGAGGAACTTCAACAAGGTTTTCCTTTTAAGAACAGACAAACCTTAATGAACTATTACTTTAATGTGTTCCTTCTCAGACGCATTAGTTACCAGAGCAGGATGACTCCAACAAATATTGACAGCGATGATGAAGAGGACAATGAACAGGAAGAAGAAGGGGAAAATGACAAACCCAAATTTGGTTTTATAACCAGTCGTTTAGGTGAAAATTCTTTGGCCGATAAAAAACATCCATTGTTCTGTTCTCAAAATAAACAATGCGTCGTTGATGATTTGGATTTGTATACACGAGACCATTTTAAGAAGATTTTGGATGATTTAGCGTGGGGGAATTTCTCAGAGAGACTCAACTCAGACCACATTTAAATTTTGTTAACGGAAATATTTTGAAATTTTGAAATTTCAAGCTAGGTATTTTGTAAAAAATTCTAATTCTATGAATCCATTTCTTCAACTATTTAATCCATTTTCTTTTTTTTTATATCGGTAAATTTTATTTAAAGTATAGGTCATTTCTATAATTTGACCATATAATATTCTTGAAGATCGCCACGTCCAGTACATCGAACTCACTTCATCTTTTACATCAGTCGGAGTGAGTACATATCTTCTATCGATCATCAAAAATTGATCAGAACACCAAGATTACAACAAGAAGTGTTGGAGAGTAGTGAGGAAGAAGAAGGGAAATGTGAGAACCATTGCTGGTTTGCAATATAATTAATGATCCAAAATCAATCAACAGATTCATTGTATATTTCCTTTGAGAGATTAAAAGATACCTTTAGTGATGTGACATTTCAATTCCTAAAAATATATGAAAGATTACCTAAATCATTAGTCTTGAATATATATTCTGTATCATTTTCAGAAATTATAATATCATCTATATATATAAGTATACATGTATATGAATTATTTTGAGTTATAGTAAAGAAAGAGTAATCTCCTTTTGATTGTATGAATTCCAAAATAATTAATGTATTCTTAAGTTTTGCAAACTAATTCCTGGAGACTTTGTAATTTGCATACCCTTTTATCACAAGAATCCAACATCCCTAGAGGTGGCCTCCATTGATAAAAGTATTATGAACATCTAATTGATGCAATTCCCAATTATTTACAGAAGCAATTGACAATATTAGTTTAGTTGATACAAGTTTGGCAACTTGTGCAAATGTTTCGTGATAGTCAAAACCTTCTATTTGACTATATCTTTTGACCATCAGTCTAGCCTTGTATCTCTCAACTTCCCTATTTGGCTGAAATTTAACCTCGTATATCTATTTATACTCTATGGTCTTTCTATCTTTGGGTAAATATACTAGACTCCAAGTATTGTTTTTACTTAGTGCCTCAAGTTCTAATTAACTCATTGCATCTATCCAATGAGTATGTTTTGAAGCCTCATTGTAATGTTTAGGTTCTATCGCATTACTTACTGGTGATAAAAGTTTGATGTTATATTGTTGTAGTATGAAACATAATTTTTTTATTGGGTGTCTAGTGTTTTGCTTTGTTCTGACAGAACCCCCATTACATATGAAATCATCATGTATTTTAGCTTTTCTCTTAATTCTTTTAGATCTTTCCCTAACTCCTACTAAAGAAGGAGTTTCAATACCAGTATCTCTTATGATTTAATGATCCTCTGTATCTTGTGAATTAATTTGATTTGTATCACCTCTTGAATTCAATTCGCCACATTCTTGAGTGGAGTCATCGCTAATGAACTTTGTTTCCATGTTTGATTTATCATCAGTCATGGGTATGGCCATCACTATAATGTGTTCTATCTGAGTGATGTCATTTTCTTGAATGTTAATTAACATCTCCATGTTTATGTTCTTCATGATTGTGTTCTTTGATGAACTTCTCAATCATGCTATCCATGACATCAATTTTTGCGAGTAAAGGGGAAGGTGTCATATCCTTGGTATCCTTAAAAGGAAACTTGTTCTCATAAAATGTTATGTTTCTGCTATTTATTATTCAAGACCTTGGTTGAAAGTTTGTTTATTACATAAATTACAGTTAAAATGCACTCTTCCCAAAAAGAATTTTGAATATGAGAACGTATACCATCGTCACTTTCAACAAATGACTATGCTTTCTTTCAACAATATAATTTTTGTGTGGAGAATAGGAACATGTAAACTATGAATGATACCAAGTGATTTTGTGTATTTTTCAACTTGATGAATGACCTTACAATTATTGTTATATTGCAATTTCACTATGGTGACAAACTCCTTTAAGGTTTCTAGGACTTGTATTTTGTTGTTGAGGAGAAAAGTCCAGGTGGTCCTAGAATAATCATCCACAATTGTAAGAAGTATCTAAAACCATTATGAGAGACAACTGAGAATTGCCCCCATAGATCTATGTGTATTAAGTGAAAAGCCTTTGTACTTCTTGAGTAGCTCTTAATATAAGGCAATCTAGTTTGTTTTACCTTAGGACATATAAATATCAAAGTGTTTATCAACATGCATATCAAGATCATAATTGAAAGAGTTTAAAGCATTCACAAGTTTATCTCTAGATGCATGACCTAGCCTAGCATGTCAGATTGTCAGGTATCAAAAGAATCAATAGAGTTAAGTTACAACAAAATAGAGTTTGAATGTTTTGAGGGAGGTTTCAAAATATAAAGACTCTCATACACTTCAGTCAGTTTAACTGCTTTGAGTGAAATCTTGTCCTGCAATACACAAAAATCAGACATAAATGAGATTTTAGTATTGGTTTGTGACAATAATTGTGATATTAATATTAAGTTGACAGTAAAATCAGGAATAAAGAACACCTTGCTGAGAGATAATTCATCAACCAATTGGATTTTTCTCTGATACTACCCTTGGAACATTTTCGGAAGACTAACTTTATAGTTCCCATCATTTTTTTGTAAATTACGTAGTGACTTGCTCCAGGATCAAGGATCCAAGATAGTTTTAAAAGGTCATCATTATTTACACAATATGCAACATGATCCTTAACATTATTTAGATGCAAATTCATATTGGAATAGTGAATGATTTCGATGCAATGTTGTGATTATAATTTTTTTTTAAATAGTCACTAATTATACTTAGCACATGTTTGATAAAATGATATGATGAGCAATAGCGAACATATATTATCAATTCATGGTTCATGTTTAAGAAAAGCCCATATGATATGATGATACATACATATGTACTGAACTTTAATTTTATTAAAAAATGGTCAGAAGTGGGGTTCGAACCCACGCCCTCATAAGAGGACCAGAACTTGAGTCTGGCGCCTTAGACCACTCGGCCATCCTGACTTGATATTTTATTTTTTTTATTATTTTTATAACACATTTCATTTTACAAAATTAATGCTAGATTTACAATCCCAACTCCTAACAATGATGATTGAAGATTATCATAACCACATACATAATCATATGTAGTGACAAAATAACATTGTTTCAAAACACAACAAAAATAACATATGAGTTATGACAATGACTAAAGATTAAGAACCACTTAAAAAAATAAAACCAAGATCTAACGTATCTTGATTTTATATTCTATGTTCTAACATTTATTTCAATCTTCATCTTCATCAAAAACCATTCCTTTCCTGAGCCTTCTTCGCACTCTTGTCTTCTTCTCATCTTCTTCTTTCTCCTCTATCACCACATCTTCATCTTCTAATTTTCCATTATCAACCTCATCTCCCAGCTTCTCAATTCTAACTTCATTATTTTTCTCTTTATCAATCTCGCCACCATCAAACTTTTCGTCTTTCTCATCTATTCTAGGACCTTCAATATTTTCCTTGTTATCAGTTCCAATATCATCGATGTTTTCTTTGTCATCAGTTTCAGCATCATTGATATTCTCTTTGTCATCTTTTTCTTCCACATCTTGTTCATCAGGATCTATCTCTACAACTTCATCGTCTTCATTATCCTAGATGAGAAGACATTTGTAAATTAATGAATTTGGGTAACAATAAAAAAACAGATAAAGAAATAACCAACTAACTTCATATTCTTTCAGTTGCTTCTCATACTCTACTTTCATTTCTGCAGCTCTATCAGTGTAAACCTGCTTCTCCATTTTGGAAAGAGATTTCCATCTCACACCGCCTTCTTTAGCAACCTACAAATCCCAAACAATCTCAAAAATTAAAAACAAAGAAAAAAGAAACAAACATCAAAGAAAAAAACGAATAAAATTTACATGAGCGCCACCCTTAGAATCGGGATTGGCTTCAGTGTATTCTTTCCTAAAATCCTGCCTGCGCATCATAAACAACAAGTAAAGCAAATATCAGCAACATAAATCGGGGAAAGACCTTTTTTACTTTACTAAAAAAAACATACATAAAGATAAAAAAAGCAGTTAAGGGACGCTTAGGAGCATCAGGATCCTTGGACTTTGCTACTTTCTTCTCTTTTGAAACTATTTTCTTCCTGCAACATTGTATAATTCTGCTTCATTAAAAAAAAGACGATAAACCCTAAAAATAAAAACACAGAAAAACAAATGATGCTTACTTATTTGCAGATTTCTTCTTGATTTCAGTTTCAACTATCTCAGATTCTGTTAACAAATGAGAAACACTAACATTAGAAACCAAATAAGAAGTAAAAGAAAACAATAGACTGAACTGACTGATGACAAAAGTTGATAAGCTATATATGTATGAGAGAGATGTAAACCTAAGTGCATCCGGATCCGAGATTCAAGACTGCAGCTATGCATATCAATGAGAGCCACAGGGACATCTTTGTTGCATTCCTCACTGAGATGAAAATAAGGAAAAAAGTTCAAAATAGTAACCGATTAGAAGGACGAGAATAAAAGAAATTAAGAGAAAAAGAGATATCACCATTTAGTGAAAGCGCTTCCATTTTTTGCACGCTTAAAAGTGACAGGGGTCGTCTCAGCTTCGACCCTCTTCCTCGGCCTTGGTGGATTGGAAGAAGATCCGGCCATCGAAAATCGATCGTCTTCTAGGGTTTTAAGAAAAGGAACGTAGTGAGCGAATCGAATAGGTGAAGGAAACAACGAGAAGTTGGAGGAATATAAATAAGTGAGCGAGGGATTTATTTCCTTTCTTTCTTCGCGGTTTTTTTTTCAGATAGCGGGAGTTTGGGGTTTTTTTTTGGAATTCCGCCCGAGGGAGATTTAAAATTAAAGCTATTACTTTTTGGAATTTCAACTTTCAATTTTCGAACCGTCATTATTTAAAACTTTATTTATTACTTATATAATTACAGATTTACAGCCAACTTCACTTGTCGTAGCTCATATCTTTGAATTTTCTTTGACAACTCCAACTAATTTTGCGAAATCGGCAAGCGGAGATCCGGATTCTGCCAGCGCAGTTCCTGAACTCCATCTTCGTAAGGAAGAAGACGACGGAATTCCAAGAATTTCATCTTCTCAGTTCCGCACAACGACAGAGATCTATGAACTCCAACGGCAGTGGAAGCGCGCCCTAATCGCACTACAAATATACCGCATGATAATAAGATAAGCACTTATAAAAAGTGCTTCCTGAAAAAAAAAAAATATAAACTTACTGTTGAATTGGTAATAAATGAAGATATTATGGATCGATCACCCACACAACCACACTAAATCTTCTCTATATTATTAAGTAAATTAATAAATCTCTAATGATAATTTAACTTGTAAGGTAATGGAAACTATTAATATCATAAAACCATTTGATAGTTTATTAATATGATAATCTAAATAAATTAAAAGGCAATTTGTCAATACAATAGTTGCTTCTAAATAAAAACACACAAATGATAAAAACAAAAATAAATAGAGAAATGTAGTAATGATGATGAAACTGATTGACTCGTACAAAGTAAATATTGTCGAACGCCCGAATTATGTCGATTCTGTCTAACTACAATCCTACACCCAAGTACTCAAAAAAGATAACATTAGGGATCCATAATCATCTTAGGATTGATTGTTTAACGAATGAATGGCCGCCGGATCTACAAAATACCAGAAAATCCATGTCAAATTGTACAGAAAACAAACGCCAGAGAAAATCCATTTGTAGTAGTAAGAAATTACTTACGAATACTCCAGCTGAATGTTTAGAAATCTTGCATTTTCTTTGCTTTGACTCAAAGTTACCAAACCCTCTATAATCTGATCTTGTTGCACTTCTATTGGTTCGTAAAAATAAACCAAGGTCTGCAAATAAGTAAACTTAATATTGTGTGCAAAAATAAATTAAGAATTTCAATCAAGTGAAAATCAAACTACCTGCTGCCAATGAGTTGGTGCATCCTCAGGTGCCGTGGACAGCACAACTAATTCATCAGACTTTAATCTCTTCTTGCTCACACTGGATCCTTCATGAGATTGTTGTGTCTGATCATTTGCAGGATATGGTTTGATTCCATTGAACTCAACATCAAACCAAAAGGCAAATCCATGAAATGGGGCTGGCGTCAGAAGGGAAAAAATAAAATTCACCATTAAGGTAATTTAATCAAATGCTGGAGTGTACGTATCCAACACTAATTTAGAACATCTATTAGTTTGCTTGTCATAATAACGTGTAACAAATGTGTATGTAAGAACATTCATTTGTTAAATACAAATCAGCCATCTATAAAGTATTTATAAATAAATAGTAGATATCACTCAGCACAGAAACACTTTAAAAAAAATCTGAATAAAACAATAGATCAATTTGTGTACGTACCTCGCATCATTGAAGAAAATTTATATTTTGCAGTGACCGACACAAGCTCTTCAATAGTGATAGTGTGGCAATTCACATGTTTAATCTGCTCAAAAAAACATACAGTTTCAAATTTAGTGCATCAAATTACCAATAAAGAAATTCAATTGACATTCAAAAAAAAACACAAAAGTAGTTGTTCGACCATTTTTAAAAGAGTATCTTTTTATCTCAGAATACTTGCGAAAGTTCTTAAATTTCAATTACCATTAAAATGGAAAGAATCAAATATTTTTTAAACAAATTACAAATATGAAAATTGCTAAAATGCCCCTTTTCTAGTTTCTTTGCGTTTGAAGTTTGGTAATTCTAGGAATCAAATACGAAGATATCAATTTAGTGAGGAGTTCATCTAAAAAAATAAAACGAAAAAGCATCAAGATGTTGGATTTCCAAGAAAGTAAAGCATTTATCTCCATGACTTTTGTGTTGAAATCCTTATAAGTTTTCATACTGAGGTAGATATGATCATATGAGTATCTTGAAGTATCCATAGTTCAAAAAAACGAAAAGTGTCTCCACTTTTCAGGAAGAACTTTTTCGCTTTGGGAGCTTTAAGCATGCTTTAAAGCGCCAGGGATATTTTAGTAATATCCTGTAAAGATTCATATCATCCTACTTAAATACATATAAAACCTATAGAAAATTAAAAATACCTTACAAAAGTATAAAATCACATGTAATAAAATATTAATGATTTAATTCATACAAGTAAAATTGAATCCAACTACAATTAAATCAAACTAAAAGCTAAAAGTGGGATAAAAGTTTTTAATTTAAGTTAGAATAGAGGGATAGAATAGGAAAAAAAAGTATATTAGGTGAAAATAAGTTAGAATTGAAGGGCTTGGGCTTCAATGCTTTAGTGAGAATATCAGCTTGTTGTAGAACATTTGATGTCTGTTGTACAACAAGAGTTTTATCCTCCATCCTTTCTCGAACAAATCTGAAATCCATGGCTGCATGTTTGATTTAGAATGATAAACCGGATTGGCAGCCAAATGAGTTGCTCCTAAGTTATCAGAAAATAACTTATAAGGCAATTTCAGATGAATCCCCAATTCTTTCAACAATTGTTAAGGCAATGGCTCGAAATTCAGATTCTATGTTTGACCTAGCAACAGTAGATTGTTTTATAGAAGCCCAAGAAACTAATGAATCCCCAACATAAACAAGTATCTTGTTTGGCTTCTTCTGTCATCACATCATTGGCCCAATCTGCATCACAATAAGCTGTGATATTAAAATCAGCCATCTTTCTCAAGATGATTCCCATGTTTTGAGTACCAGAGAAGTATCTCAAAACTCTCTTAGTAGCAATCCAGTTAAGAATATAGCTATTATGATTATTAGAACTAATTCTAACATATAACTAATAAGTTTCTGTTGGAGAAGTATACACATAGCTGGAGATGTAGATAAGTGGATAATTTCGTAGTTTTCATAACAGGCATTTCTGCAATTTCCCTAAAAATCTATATAAAATACCAAATAGATCATAATATCATGCATATATTTTAGGAATGAATATTACCTATATAAAACATATAT